CGTACTACGTACTACGTACTACGTCTACGTACTACTACTACTCTACTACTCTACTACTCTACTCTACTCTCTTCTCTCTCTACTCTCTCTCTCTCTCTCTCTCTCTCTCTCTCTCTCTCTCTCTCTCTCTCTCTCTCTCTCTCGATATATATATATATATATATATATATGAACAACCTAAAAAACGCCTATAGGCGAAATGCCATAATATTTCGCCTCCATCACGGACTTGTTATGTTCATGGCGGTTTATTGAATGGACCTGCAATGGATGGCGCCATATGTGTGGTTCCGCGTGAATTTTTGGACCACCACGGACCTAGTATGTTTATGACAGTACCTGCCACAAAAATGCTAGATCCATGGGGTTCGAAAACGCACGCCATCCGATTTTTTCGGACGGCAATTGGCCTATGGGAGAAATCATTGTAGCATTTCACCCATAGGCGTTGCGTAGATGCTTCCATATATATAATAAATACACACACACACATACACACACACACACACACACACACACACACACACACATATATATATATATATTGACTTTCATATGTCCACTATTCCAAACACCATCTCAGGGCTTACTTGTGTGACCCCATAATTTTGCATAGTTTCTGGAACCTATCAAAGAAGATAGTGAAAAAATTTCAAAAAAAAAAGGAATAAAGAGAAAAATAGAAAATGTTTTTCTGATGCATGAGATAAAATAGTTAATGAGGACTATCAATTTTGATTGTCTTTTTGATGTTTTTTTTGCGTTTGTTTTTTTTTGTGCGGGGGGTTGTCTTGCAATATCTAGGGTTAGATGAGCTCAAAATCCTTTTCAGGTAATTTTAAGACTATCTACAAATTTGTTGTCAGACAAATGCCCCTATGATGGTTTTTTTGAAAGGGTTGTGAAGTGTGGAAATATTGAACATAGCACATGTAATCTTTTTACACACACACACACAAATATATAAGAGATGTTGTACCCACTTGCTGATGAAATAGTACCAGTCTAACAGTGCGATACTGTTTGGTTTTTAGTTTTTAATTTGGTTTTTAGTTTTTTAATAAATCCAGTTAAATGGACACTGTTTGGCATTTATTTTTTTAATAAATCCAGTTGAACATGTGCACCTAACATAGGCGCACCAAAAGAATAAAACAAAATAATTTGCAAATAACAATGAGCAATATACCCCTGCCCCTATTGATGAACATTATAGGAGTATTTTGTTCCTTTGTTGTGCACATTATATTTTTTATTTGTTTAGTGCAAGTCTGGCACACATACCCCAAAATTTCAGGCCTATTAGATTGATGAAAAAATTTAAAATTCAAAAATAAAAAAATGAACAATATTGCTAGTTATCAAATCCAGCCATATTCAATCTAGGCCATTGGCCTGATGCCCCGACCCACTAGGTCCAATCTCGGACCACCTGACCCAATAAGCAGGCCTATTAACAAAACATGTAAATGCAGGTAAAAAGGGAAAAAGCATAGTCAACATTCTCACAGTATCTGCAGCCCTGAAAAACCATTGGGCATTGAAATATTGTATTCCATCCATTGTCTCAAAGAACTCCAAGATTCTACCAATGTAGTTGGGTCCTCCCTTCTGGCCCTAAAAGAAATACAGAGCTCATTACAACTTGACACATTTAGTGACAACTCTAGCTCATGAGATACAAATTCAAAAATAGAATAGCAAACTTGGGTTCTCTCTAGGTCGTGAGATACAAATTCAAAAACAGAACAGCAAACTTGGGTTCTCTTTTCTAATTGTCAAATCAGAACTGATTTTCTATATCCAACTTCTTTTCTATTTCCAACCTCTTATGTTCTATACAACTTAGTTCATCAGAGTACCAACTTTCAAATACATATCTTACATTTGTCATTAACATGGGCTGGCATTACAAGCAGTTGCACATAAGAAACCAAAATATTTTAGATCACAATGGACCAACATCATTTACCTTCACATAGGCGGTGTCACCTAGATTAAATTTATGCCCACAAATATCAGCTTGCAAGTAATGACATCTCACATCCAAAATAAGTTCATCAGAATCCCTGTAAGTATGACTCCTAAGCATCACAGGAACTCGAGTCCAAATAAATGGAGCAGCAAAAGGATAAGATAAGATGACTGACAATTTAAAAGGGAAGAAGACTGACTTACATTGACCAATTTTTCTTGGAATTTCTGCCACTTTTCTGAAGAAAACCAAAAAGTGGAAATTAGTAACTAACAAATGGAATATGCACTAATTTTAATAATGTATCGCCAATATTTCTATGTTTTATAACAAAATGATAATGCCCATCCGGTAAGAGACTCCTCAAAATTATTAAACTGCCAGAGCTTCACATGAATTCCAAAAGTTAACTTGGAAGCATGGTCACAGTAATAAGCTATTTATAGTTGAAAGTGTGAATTATGGTATTCATCAAGTATGCATGGTTCAATACCATTGAAGCCACAGAAAGACTTCAGAATATGAATAAACCACTTCTGATGCACAGATGCGTGGAAATGAGCTCCATAGGCATACATGATGATATTCAAATGCTTCAAAAACATGTGAAAAAACACTTAACACCATGTTCTATCTTTTGATAAATCCACAAAACCGAATCTCAAAATGGAATGGCAATACCTGAAGATCTTTCTCTCTCTGGAAAAGATTTCACAAAACACTTTTTTTTTTCTTCTCTCTCTCTCTCGATAGATCAACAAAACCCAATTTCAAAAAGGAATGGCAACTCCTCAACATCATTATACAAGAAAATCACAGAATGGAATATCAAAAAGTCTCTCTCTTACAGCCAAGAGAACATCATACCTCGACATTATAACGCCATGGCCATCTGTTGTGCGCTTCCTCCAAGTCGACCGGAGCCCCAATCAACCTGCATTCCTCATTTGTCACTTTCTCCCCCACTTTCTGCTTCTTCACTCTCCTCTGATAGACCTCACACACAGAATCAGGGGATGAATCTACCTTAACAGAACTGTCAGTGCTCAAAGATCTCCTATTTTTCCCTGATTTTTCAGAGCACAAAACAATTCTGGGTGACCTTCTGAGAGCTTTCTTGTAATCCATTGAAGATACGTGCCCTAAATTTGGCAAAGAAAGTGCTGTACCAGAATGCTCAATGCTCGAAGACAGCTTATTTTGCCCAAAATTTTCAAAGTATGACGCATTTCTAGGCGACCTTCTTAACTCTTTCTTGCTCTCCATTGAAGAGCCATGCCCTACATTTGGCAAAGAAGTTTCTTTAACTGAACCATCAGTGCTCAAAGAAGGCTTAGTTTGCCCTATATTTAGAGATCTAGACAACATTCTAGGCGACCTTCTTAACTCTTTCTTGCTCTCCATTGAAGAGCCATGCCCTACATTTGGCAAAGAAGTTTCTTTAATTGAACCATCAGTGCTCAAAGAAGGCTTAGTTTGCCCTATATTTAGAGATCTAGACAACATTCTAGGCGACCTTCTTAGCTCTTTCTTGCCCTCCATTGAAGAACCACACGACACATTTGGCAAAGAAGTTTCTTCAACTGAAACATCAGTGCTCAAAGAAGCCATAGTTTGCCCTATATTTGCGGACCATGAAACCATTCTAGGTGACCTTCTGAGCTCTTTCTTGCCCTCCATTGAAGAACCACTCCCTACATTTGGCAAAGAAGCTTCTTTAACTAAACCATCAGTCCTTGAAGAAGGCATAGTTTGCCCCATATTTGCAGAGCTTGAAACCATTCTAGGTGACCTTCTTAGCAATTTACAGTCAACCCTAGAAGAACCATGGCCTACATTTGGAGAAGACGTTTCCTTAACTGAATTATCAGTGCTTGAAGAAAGCACAGGTCGCCACATATTTGCAGAGCTTGACGCCATTCTAGGCGACCTTCTGAGATCTTTCTTGCCCTCCATTGAAGAACCATGCCCTAAACTGGGCAAATGAGTTTCTTTAACTGAACCACCAAAGCTCGAAGAAGGCAAAGTTTGCCCCATATTTGCAGAGCTTGACACCATTCTAGGCGATCTTCTGAGCATTGCAGAGCTTGACGCCATTCCAGGCGATCTTCTAAGCACTTTACGGTCCTCCATTGAAGAAACTTGCCCTAATCTTGAAGAAACGGGGGCAAAGTTTTGCCCTAGAAAAGGGCAGTGACGCCGGGACTCTCTCAGTCGCAGTGGATGCAGCTGAGGAGAGCGCGCGCAATATGAATATGCCAGGTTGGATATATACGTGCGGGGTACTCACGCGTGGAACTTTGGCATATAACGCTTATCTTTTGAGTTAGTAGACGAGATGTCGAATGGACGGTTCGAATAAGGAGAGATATGATCGTACGGTTGTAGTTTAATGACAGCTTGTTAAAGTGCACTGCGGTGTTGGCTAAGGCGGGGCCTATCTCTTGAACTTTTATGGTTTCAGTTTCTATAGGGCTGCAGCCCTTTTTATTCAAGTTGGGCTGCGGCTGTGTGCACCGTTGATCTATATGGACGGTACAGATTCTTTGTGTTACTTAAAGGACGAGGATCCCCGGTATCCATTGTCCTTTCCTAAATTTCCTTTGGTTTGCCCTCTATTTCTCTCTCTAGCTCCCAAGTTGTTTTGTTTGCCCTCTCTTTCTCTCTCTAGCTCCCAAGTTGTTTTGTTTGCCCTCTCTTTCTCTCACTAGCTCCCAAGTTGTTTCACCAAATTTGTGTCACCTTCTCTCTCCACCCTCTTCCCGTAACCCATTGTTCTGCATCCTCTATCTCTTTTCAAAAAAAACTTTATATTTTCGTTATCCAACTGTCTATGCTGAATGGAAGGCTAAGGTTTACCTCAATCTTAATGGCACTTCTCTATAATATTTTATTTTAAATTTTTTTCATAAACTATCATGATACCAAATTTTGGATGTCCAATCCCTATTAAACTCGCACTAGCAAAAATTATTAAAAAAAAATATTTCAAATAAAATGAAATGACCAAAATATCTCTGAAAGTTTCAAGGGGTATTTTGGTTATTATATTTTATCAAAAAATTATTTTTAATATTTTTTATAAGTGCGCCCCACTAAAAAGATGGCACGTACCAAATTTCATACTTATACAATTTGTACAAAAAAAACTAAAAAAAAAATACTTTGAGATGTCAAATCTAAGATCAAACAGTGAGTGGCTCTCGTGATCAAAAATTGACCGCTGGATGATAGGAGAAACATAGGTCTTCTATCCTGTAGGGGAAGTATAGAAACATTTCTCAAAGAAAGGTGTCGTGCTTTTCTGTTGGCTTGTTTGTCACAAATCATCATTGTCCAAATAATGGACGGTAAAAAGGGATGCAACTTTAATTATTTTCATTGGGTTTTAGCCCCTATCAAAACATTTTCCTTCTACGAATGAGCTCAGTGGTCCTTTGTTTAGGTGTTAGAAAATTCAAAATTTAAAATATTTTGGGAAATTTACATATGGATCATATTTTTTTACCATTATGACAAAATGGCTAAAAAAATAAGCTGTTATTACCTAGAAGGACGAATCCCCTAATTTTTTTTTTCAAGTTTGCCCTTGCACCCAGTTCGATGTTATAAACATCAGACTGCTTGTGTAAGGGTTGAGATTTTTATCGTGCTTTATTTATGTATATTGTCCTTATTGTTTGCGTACCAATTAAACTTTTTACCCGATCTCGATTTTGGACCTTGTCGGACTCTGTGAGGGCCTGAAAATCTTGACTGGTGTAGAACTCGTTGTTTTGGAACTGCTTAGGGTCTTTGTCATAGAGGAGGCATCAAACGTTTCAGTGGTACGGGGTACGCTTAATTCCGAGTTACGATTAGAAAATTATGGTCTGTGCAATTTGATAAGCCCACGGGCCCTACGAACAGAAATTCCGACCCCTGCGTCACACGAGCACGCATCCTAAGCATGGGGAACGCATTCCAGTGTTTATGATTAGTCAATCAATACCTATGCACCATCATTACACTAAATGTGCACACACCCATGTACCATCATTACACTCAGTGGCACCCACACACAGCCACATGCACAATGATGTTCATATGCATACATACCCATGGCCACATGCACGCATACATAATGAAATCTCCACACTATGTGCATATGTGCCATGTGGCACCCGCATACCCATTTCATGGATATTTACATGAACCCTCATTCGTTCATGCTATAGACACATGCAAGCACATAAACACTACCCTATATGCACGATTGACATATAGCATTTTTTCCCTTAAAAATGGGCACGGTCATCTTCAATTGTATTTAAACCCTTTCATTTAGCTTCATATTTCCCTCACCCTTGAGCCTTGGCTAGCTCATTCTCTCCCCCTTAGTATACTAGGTGATCACCCCTTATTTGTCTTGGGCTCCCCTCTCATCCTCTTGGCTCACTTCTTTTCTTCCTTGGACGGTGTTCTCACGTGGCGGTATTCAGCGGTCTCTTTCGTAAGTAAGTAGAAATATCGACCTTGATTTGATGATTGATAGTGTTAAAAACATCACAATCTTAACTGGTAATTTCTATAATTCTTTAGTATATGGAATGAATTATTAGAGTCCCTTTTACAAACATCACAATCTTGACTGAGAATTTCCATAATTATTTAGTAGATGGAATAAATCATTAGAGTTCTTTTTACCTTGTATAAGAGTATGATGGATTTGAGAATTTAATTTTAGAGATTTTACACTTTTTTACGTGGTGCTTTCGACTGACCAAAGTCCTCAGAACGAGATGAAAGCACTTTATAATGTCAGAAAAATAAGTATAGTTTAAATTTGGTTTTGGGTTCATGATAAAAATTCTCTATAGTTTGAAAAGTTGGAATCATTTTTCTAATGGAGTATCAGTCTGTACTTTCTGCTGCATAAAACAGAAGTTACCCCTGAAAAATCAGGCAGGTTGACCAACTTGGGTCTTTATTTGGCACCACTTTCTAAATGAAAGTTATGCATTCCTAGGTCTAGCTTCTTTGAAAATATGTCCCATGACCTAATGTTGTGTATTTTTGAAGTTAAGTTTATTTTAGTGAGCAAATGTCGCAGTAGAAAAATAGTGTATTGGGACCCTAAACTTGTCCCGTATCTAGCAAAATCTCTCGAGCTCGATCCGTGAACTTGTATTGTTGAGCGGTGGCCTATACTTTATTTATCTACCCTGATCACTTACTCAGTCATGAGTATAACTTGAGGACACGCGTCATGTTATGAGATGAGTTCATGATTGTTATTCCATTGCTTGTTATGCAAATTGTTTCTTGTTATATTACATCGATATGTGCATGCTATTGACATGATAATGTATCTGGAATTGATAAATATGATAAAATGACATAGTGATGTTTATTGTATTGATATGTAGCATGTTATTGACATGATAATGTCTCTTGAATTGATAAGCATGATAAAATGATATAGTAATGTCTATTACATTGTTATATAATATGTTATTGTCATGATAATGTCTCTTGGATTGATACTTATGATAATACGACATAGTGATGTCTCTGGACATGATGGTGTTTCTTGTAATTATATGTGTGGTATGCTTTGGACATGTTGATGTTTATTGTGATTATATGTATGATATGTTTATGATAAGATATGTGTATATGGAAACATGCTTTTGATAAGATATGTGTGCATGTAGATATGCTTATGTTATATGATCTATGCACGGTAACATGCTTCTGATAAGATATGTGTGTATTGTAACATGCTTCTGATAAGATATGTGTACATGAAAAAATGTTTTCGATAAGATATGAGTGCATGGAGACATGCCTCTGGTATGATCTGATGAGATAATTGTACCGATAGTTGTGATTTATCCTTACTCTCTAAAATAGAATGAGAGTTAGGAGTGTATGTGTTTGGGTGGTCGCACCTCCAAAAACTTATGTGAGGCACTACTCATTGGGCCCCCTTTGGTAGTGTAGCGCTCTCTCGTCAAAAGAGCACATCGGATGACCATGTCTTGCAAGGCCAGTACCTATCAAAAACCCCAAGCACGTTGGGGTGGTGTGCGTGTGTGAGGCGATACGCATCGGGCTACCCCGGTGGTGGCGTCTCTCTCGGGCGTAAGGTAAGAGAGCTACACATCAGACAACCCCGGTGGTGGCGTTTTTACTGCAGGTTGCATGATTATTTGATCATATCTTATACTTAATTGTAGTAATGTTTTAAACTACTAAATTTCGATTATTGTTGATCTTGATATGAATCAGATGCATATGCTCTATGTATCATGCTTATTTTATTTGTCCAATAAGGAATACATGATATGTGTAAGATTAAAAATGAATCTGTCTAATAGCATGTATTAGAATACATGAAATCAATACGTCGAATCTGCTTACTGGGCCTTGTAGCTCATTCTGTTGTTTCACCGCTATAGTTTGAGAGCCAAGAGTAACGAGTATCGGTGCTAGGTGGTGGCTTTTGGGAGGCGTGCCGCTGTCTTCTTGGTTTTTTTGTTATGCTTGCGTTGTGCCAGTACCACCAAATAGTTTGTGTGTGTGTGTGTATATATATATATATTATTTTTCTGATTGACTAAATTTTCTTCTTTTGGGCCATTGGGCCTTAAACGTTATGTATATAAGTTGGACTCTATAAGATGTATATATTTCTTTTCTTTTCTTCTTGTGCGCTCTTGTATGTTCTTGCTAGTATCTCGACCATCCGGCCCCATAGCCCCGACGTGCCAAACACGGGCCCTGGGCTGGGTCGTGACAGCTTGGTAACCCCCATAGTTTTTGTGTAAACAAAGCGGTCCATTGTTAAAACCATCGGACCACTTTATGTTATTTTCTTATGTAGAACATGTGGTCCGATGTTAGAACCATCATATTACTTTGTGGCTCCAACTCCTCCCTCTGGTTCAACCTCTCTAAGAGAGATTCCGATTTTTAGAATAAATTTTAGTGAATTTCACCCTTCATGCGGGTTTCCCTTTAGGAGGAGCTGAGAAGATTCCGCCGGAATTTCGGTGAATTTCTCCTGCATTAGGCCTTTCCAGACCTCTGGGTTTCTTTTGGAACTTTGTCATTAAAGCAAGCATGTGTTTTCTATCCCCAGGTAGAGTTTCAATTTTCTCCGAAATTGCGATGAATATTTTTGGTGGTCCGACTCTGCTGCCGCCATTCAGACTTTGATGAATGTCGGTTGTTTGGTCTTTAA